AACATCGGTTTGGTGTATGACAAGATGGGAGAGTACTCGAAAGCACTTTCATTTTACGAACAAGCACTTAGTATTCAACAAAAGACTGTTCCTTCAAATCAACCTGATTTGACTACTTCATACAACAACATTGGGTTGGCGTATTGCAATACGCGGGAGTACTCGAAAGCTCTTTTATTTTACGAAAAAGCACTTGAAATTCTACAAAAAACTGTTCCTTCAAATCATCCTTTGTTGGCTACTTCATACAACAATACCGGTGGTGTGTATTATAATATGAAAGACTATTCGAAAGCACAATCATATTATGAACGCGCTCTGGACATATGGCAACGTGTATTACCTCCAACTCATCCTCATATAAAAATTGCGAAAGATAGTATCGAAATTATAAAAAAGAAATTATAACGAACAGTTGATAAATTAATAAAAGAATATATTGTTCACTTATTTTTAAATTAATTCTATTTTCTAGTGGCTCGCGAGTAGATACAGAGAACAACTATGTACATAATTAAAACGTAATAGAGAAAGCCAACTGATAAAGTAATACAGACACATACGTATGTGTATAGACAACCTTCTCAGACAGATCTATGTTTCTAATTCTTTATGAGAATATTTACTGTAATAAAATAAGAAAAATTTACCTTAAATAGCAATCATGGAGTAAAACAATCAAAAAAGAGGCAAAGTTGTAAAAAATAAAAAAGGAATAACTTACACATAAATGTAAGACTATAAACTGAGGGTATGGGTGTGAGTGACATCAACATCGATCATAACGACATCCACGCACATTTTATCTACTATAAGAGTTATGAAATTAAAAATCAATACAAGTAATGTTGAAGAATTGTACAAATTTGTACGTGCTATTTTTTTTGTTAAAAGATGGTAAAAAAATAAATAAATAACATGAAAGAGATAATGCTTCACCAACAAGATATAACGAAAATTTTATATTAGACCAATTTGATGGTTGATTAAAATCTTTTGCATTAAGTTCGTTCATTTCAGAACGATTATTTGTCATTCAGAAAACCATTCACCAATGTTGATCTTTTATAATTTAATTGTGAGACATGTTAATTACATCTCTTCATGGATTCCATTTATAAACACAAAAGTATCTGTTTTTCATGTTTAATCGTATAAAGTTCATGCAAAGTGCATGATTAATCGTTTGTATTTCTAAATAACTAAGCAACAAGAATGATCGGGTGGGTGTGGGCGTATTTTATTTATCTCACCCATCATCGAGTAAAACTCAAATATTATCTAGTTTTACTTATTGTGCAATATTTTTATGTATATGAACGACAAAATCTAATCGATTGGAAAGCAGTTTCATAATATGTCTGATGTTTCGATAACGAATCGAACGAAAATAGCATAAGTAAAATAGTTGTGATAGAGGGCGCTCATATCAATTTTATGTGCGTTTCATAAAACTGACAAAAGTCTATGGAAAATATCTGTTCTTGAATTGAATTTTTTTCTCTCTTAGTAAAATACTGTATTAAATACGATTATGACAATCAATTGATATGAACGAATTACTGGTTATTTCGTATAACAAATCGAACAGATTCAATCATTTCTCTTTGTCTGATTCATATAAAAATGGATGTGTAATTTAAATAGAATCTTACTATATTTTATCATTTATCCATCTTGTTTCGCAGATAATTGATTCGAAAAAGAAACCTGTATTGCAATGAATGATCAATTAGCTTCACTTGTAGCTCAACTTAAAGAGCGTCGAGCACTTACATTTCAAGAAAGAATCAAATCATTGGATATTCGTGATGAAATCTGGCGAAAATGTAATATTTTCTTTTCAATTGACAAATGTAATTTTAAAACATATTTTTCTAGACATTGAACTTAATAAAGGTTCATCATTTGATGCAATTGCTGCTCAACGAACCGGATTAAGTCCGGATATGTGTTGTGAACGAGAACGACTTACTCGAGAGTTTCAACGTCTATTAAATCCATATGAATTTGATCCAGATACTCGAGCTGTATGTTGTAATAATCAATGTATATTTTTTGTATTAAATTAAAATTTTCTTTCTAGTTAAATCATTCATTAATGATTACACAATATTCAAGAGCCTCAGCTGATCAAGTTTGTTTATATATTTTCATTGGTATTAGATTATATTTAATATATATATATATAGGCTATGCCATCAGCATATGATCTTCGTTCAGGTCCTGCTTTATTACATACAATGAATTATTTAATAACAAATATAATGGATAAATTTGATCAAGAACGTGAACAAAGTGATTGGTATAATTTTCTTTGGGATCGTTTACGAGCTATTAGAAAAGTAAATTTATCTTTTTTTATATTGCGAAAAAATTTCATCTTTTTAGGAATTAACTCAACAACATTTACGTGATGAAATAGCTATTGAAATTCTTGAACAATGTGCACGTTTTCATATATTTTGCTCGGCATTTTTATCTGAATATTCACGTGATTCATTTGATCCTAATTTAAATGAAAAAATGTTAATTGATTGTCTTAATCAATTACGAGAGTGTTATCTGACACATAAACAACAAAATAATATGCAATCATTAAGAAATATAGCCGAATTTTCATCATATATGTTATTAATTAATTTAAAAGATGATAATGAAACTTTATTGTAAGAACTTTATTTTTATTTCAATTGAATAACCACTCTTTATATTTAGACGTATCCGTCGTTTAATACAAGATATAACTCAAGTATCAGAAGTTAAAATTGCATTAAATATTCATCGATCATTACTATTAAATAATACAACAAAATTTTTTTCACTGATTGACAATGAAGCAACATTATTACAATCATGTTTACTTCAACGATATTTTACTATCATACGTTTAAAACGTCTTAATTCACTTAATTCATCGATACGTAATACTGATGAATTTCGTTTATCTGATTTAACAGATATTCTTGGTATGGATAATGATGATGAAACAAGAGATTATCTTGAACAACTTGGATATTCAATATCAAATTCTAATCCACCATGTATTATTATATCATCAACAGATAATCAAATTCAACAACAACCAATTAATAAATTATCTTATAAATTAGTTCGATCAAAATATAAAGGAAATTTAAAAGATGTAAGTTTACAAAAAAAATAAGAAATATTGTTAAAAAACAAAATTATTTACTTCCTAAAGATTATTACTGGATCTCGTGATACGCCAGTTATTATTCCTGATACAAATATTGAAGATAGTTTTGATTTACAAGGGTGTTTTGTTGGAAAATTACCATTTGATACTGATGGATTAAGTAAATAGATTTTGTAAAAATGAAAAACTAGTTATTGAAATTATGAATTATAGATCAAATGATGTCACGAAGACCACCACCACCACCACCAACATTTGAACCACAACAACAGCAACAGCACAGATCTCAACTTCCATTAATTCCTAGACGTCCACCGTCTGAAAGTGCTCTTCGATCAATGGCATCAACAACAACAGCAAATACATTTACAGTATTGAATTATTCTATTACTTTTAAAAAAAAAAAGGTGAACACTATTCATTATCTTTCTAGCTAATTAGATCTCGGCCTATTTCATCAGCAAATCTTTTTGCAAGTGCTACAACAACAATAACAACGCCAGCATTAACAACAGCATCATCACCATTTCGTTTTGATGGATTCACTTCAAATCGAACACCAACTTCACAACCAACGTAACATAAGATCAATTTTTTTATCTATCAATCATTTTCCTTTTTTTTAAGAAGTACTCTCAATCCTTTTACTCAACCAGTTTTACAAACAAGAATATTCAGTTCATCAACTCAACAATATCCATCTACATCTAAATCACTATTTTCATCTGAAATTCAACGACCGAGAGATACTCAACGTATATTATCACCTGCCGAACCAATTCTAGCACCTGCCCAGATTCCGAAACCATCACTTAGAGTAACGGAACCAACAATACAACTACCACCACCACCACCTCCACCACCTGTTGCACGTCGATTATCAACAAATTCAATAGATGTATTTGCTGATGAATTATACGAACAAATGGTTGATCCATTCATTCGAGAAACTACTTATACTATTTTTGAGTAAGAAAAACAAGAAATTTAATATTTAAAAAATCTATTCTTTTTTAGTGAATTAATTTCTCAATGGAATAATTTAACAAGTCAAACAGTTACAATTTTCAATGAATTTATTTTCGATGAAATCAATTCTGTAGCAAATGAATATTATAATGATTTTGAATTTCAACAAAAAATGTTACGTGATACTTTAAATGAAGAAAATGAACGAAAACGAAAAAAATATTTAACAAAAAAATATTTTTTCATTTGGTTTGAAAATTCATTTCAAGCACAAGAAGAACGTTTCATACTTCAAGAATTACAATTAAAATATCATTTTCTAAATAATGAACAATTACTTGAATTTTTAACTGGTATACAATTAATCACTGAACATGATTTAACGCTTGAACAAACAACCAATATATTAAAATCACGACGATATTTAAAAAAAAGTCATTTAAAAAGAATTTTACTTTTATCAAATCTATTTTTTGAAGAATTTTTACAAGAAGAATTACATTCGATTGTTATTGAATCTAATCAAGAAGTTAATTTACGTGAAAAATTATTAGAAAATTCTCTTAAAAAACAATTCAGACAAAGACGTGAACATTATCTTCAATTAAAATATTATTCACTTTGGATACTTCATTATCGTCAACGAAAACAAAATCTTAAACGACAATTATTATTAAATACAAATAATAAACGTCTAAATCAATTTCTTCAATTACGTAGTAATAAAAAATTAAAAGAAAATAATCAACAATATAATATTATTAAAAATTCATTTGATCAATTAACAACTGATCTTAATCAAATTCAATTATTTATAGATAAACTTAATTCTTAAATATATTTTTGCTTTATCTCTATGTAATGTAAAAGTTGTTTTCTGTCTTTTTTTTGTGTATGAAGAAGAAAAAAAACAAATTGAATTTTTTTTCTCTCTATGAAGTAAAATAAGAACTAACAATGTGCCATTATGTTATTGTTTGTAGAGATTATGTTTTTGGCAATTTTATTTCAAATCTTTCTTTATTTCGGTATTATTCTATTGGTGACATATTGGCTATATCCTTCACATGTTGATATCGAGGAATATTTTCAAAATAAAGTTGTTTGGATTACGGGTAAGTCAATATGAGATTTTTTTTCTAAAACAAAGAAAAAGCTTTAACACAGACGTCGAGATCTTGGAAGTGGATGGAAAGATCAGTAAAATCCATAGAAAGCTTCCAATATTGGTAGCAACAGCAACTGCTATTTTCAGTGATGGATAACTTCTATTCTTATA